ACCATCCAAAATTCCTGAAGCTTCAATTAATGCTCAAATGTAGCGTAGACCTACTTATTTGGGAAGAATTGAAGGAAACAAATATAAATTGGTCATTAATTGGACCTACAAAAGCAGAAAAGCTAAATGTAATTTAAATTTTCTGGAATATCTAGCATTTAGCATTTTCATTCGCAAACATTTTTCGGACATGCATTTTCATCGAGCTTTCATCTCTAGCAAATGTTTCGTGTCAATGGACGCGATAATTAGAGGAAATATTCCATCATCTATGCATGCTATTTCTTCGCTACGAGGGTCGGTCGCAGACATCAGTCAATTTTTGTAATGAATTTATACGATGGGTATTCATACGAATCCTGATTTGTGGATTGTGGTTTCTGGGTGCAGAAAATAGTTCTGGTTAGTTTTAGATGCATGCTCGCTAGTTATCATCTCTTAGCTCAGAAAAGTAGTAGTAATGGTAGTGATAATATTTATACATAAAATAGAATAAGTGCGAGAAATATGTATATAAAGAAGTAAAAAGGAATTGTATGATAATCAAAATTATCTCGCTAAAAGCAGTCTGTTCAGAATATGGTTTCTCAATTTTGATTTCTTTGAAAGTTAGACGAGGAATTTTTTTTCAGGTAATTTATTTATTTATTTCATTAAAAACTTTACAGTATTAGTTCCATTTACAGACTAGGGTGGAAAGAAACTAAGAAATAAAAGAATAAAATTTAATAATTCATTCCATATTTCAAAGAGTTTAGATTTAAACTTACTAACTAATGATACATGCCTTTAGTCATAATCTGAGCGGATTTTATCACCCAATTCACAAATAAAAATAATTTTTAAATTGCAGTAATGGTTAGTCTACGTAAAAATTCAGAGAATTTCGTGTTATATACTCGGCAGCATGAATATTAATTTGATTTAATAATTCAGGAGCATTAATCATATTATTTAATAATTTGTATAACAAAATCACTGCAGGCACATTTTTTCTATTTTTTTACAAGTTTCACGGTAGTATAAATACCATAAAAACTGATTTTGAGCCTCATGAGATTCATAGCAAGGACTCCATATAATAAACTTAGACTTAGTATACTATGTGATAAATTATGTATGTAAAGTTTTAGGACATATTTATTTAAATTCCTTACCATTTCTTATAATAAAACCACTCTACACGCTACATGCTCTATCTATTATATCCTTCATATGCGCCCTGAGAAATAACTGAGTATCAAAGAATATATCAAGTTGTACTAAAGCTAAGTACAAAACATTTATCGACACTAAAATGTAATTAATTTTTATAGTCATCATCATATATTCTCGGTATGGCTTGCTAAAGTTTTAGACAGCCAAAGTAATTATTTAACACAGCATAAAGTTTTAGATTGTCAGCATTTAAATGTATTTTCGAATCATAAACTAAAGCCACCAAATCTTTAATAAACAAAAGTAATATACTACAATACACCTTCGGCGTAGAGGAGAGTTGACATTTAAACTTTTTAGAGCAAAAATTCGGCAATCGGTGGGATTAAATAAACACGCTCCCCTCTCGAAAATTATGAAAATCAAACTTGTTAAAATTCCCGACCAACAACTTTCTTGGCGATATTCCCCTCGTTCGCAAAAGTTTACCGAACTCATTTCGTTTTAAGGAACACCAAAATTGTGAGGTGTGGGCGTCGTAATTTCTACAAAAAAAAAATGTCGAACCGCAAACGGCGTCGTCCACTTACGAGATCGAATTTAATTTTTTCGGTAAGAAACCAAATGGAATAAAATTTCAATTATACTTTCCTTATATCGAAAAAATTTAAATTATAAGTCATATTATTCTTTATATTTACATTTAAATATCAAATACGTCTCTCATATCTTTTATATATGCTAATTGCGAGTACTATAAAAAGTAGAAAAAAAAACAGTCCATGAGTCCAACTGTCCAAATCGTGTAGTTAAAAACGAAACAGCTAACAAAATACAAGCACATAAAAATAAAAATATACATTGTATTATTTAATGAAAGGTCCCAACTCCATAAGCGCAAACATGTATCCTAAAAATTCTAGTTTCGAGGGTGTAAAAGAGAAAGAGTAGTTAATTGTGATAAAAAGAGTCTTAATTTAAACTGCTTAACCCGCAAAAAAATGCCGAGCGATCGCTCGCAAACCAGCGAACTAAAATGCCGAAAAAAGCGAGAAAATGATAGTTTTATTATTTTACGTACTATTTTACATTATTTGCATATAGCGATATTTTTACAAAAATTATATTACTAGCAGGTGTTAAAGAGTTTCAAAAAACCTTAATTATATTGTTTATTTCTTCAACTTAATAATAAAATGAATTTTATCTTATTAGTAAAAATATTTAACAGTTCAATTTATTTTAGCAACTATCTAAAATCGCTTGTCTTTAATCCGAATAATTGTTTGAAAGAATGAAAAGAAAATGAAAATTGGTCAGTCAGTCCAGGAAGCAATAGCGGGAACAGTAGCAGTCAGGTTAAAAACTATAGAGAAAATTATGTATAAAAAAAAAAAAGAAACTGTTTAATGTTATGGCCAAAAAAATTGTTCACGCAATTTTTGTTTTCCCGTTCTGTCGAAACGAGGCCGGTAATTTTCAAATCTTCTTGATGCTTCCTGCGTCGGTAGTTTATAAATCAAATTTGTTGACGTTTCTCGAATCATCTTTTTGGTTTCTACAGAAACTGGATCGCATTCTACTCTGTAGCCACTCGGGTGCTTCAAAAAAAAATATTTTTTTTTAGCCCTTATCCTCTCAAATGTTTCTTTTTGATATAAAAAAATCCTCAACAAAGATGAGTCCTGTAGCTCAACTCTAAGGGGTCCAGTTTTAGATTTAATTAACATGAGAAAAATCATTTTTTCACTAAAATTAAATTTACGTATAATGATAGTGACTTTTTACAAAAACACATTTTATATTTTTAAAGTTGAATCTTTAAGCTTTACAAAACTGTATAACAAAGTATGATTATCATTAAAAGAAGATTAGTTACGGCCATTTAAAAATTACCAAATTTTGAACTTTTCAGAAATAGCTTTTAATAATTTTTTATCTACATAATTTCCCAAAATTTTTATTCTAATTAATAGTCAGTGTTTTATTTCTACCGATTTCAAATTTTAAAATGATTGTCAGTACTTAGTGTAGGTGGCAGCACTATTCTGCAACACATATTTTAAGAAATTATTGTGTATTGTCATTCTTTAAAGCTCTCAGTAATTTCAATTATTATCAGTAAAATGGCTGAAAAGAAAATTTATTTGGTTGGTTTTTCATGTATAAAATTAAATAAGCGAAAATTACCGCGTATAAGAAAAGTTTTACAATTATTTTTGTACAAGCATACAGATTCTAACCTCACAATTCGACAGTGCGTTGATGAAATGATTCGTGATGTTATGAAAGTTTGGAAACCTACTGGTATTCCCGTCTGTCAACCATATAATGCTATGACTAAAATCATGAAAGTTTATCGAGAGTGGGAACTTTTGAAAAAAAAAAAAAAGATAACTTAGAAACAAAAAATTACGGAGCATACATTTAAAAATCGCCTTGAGAATTTGTGCAAACTTATAAGTCTCGACAGAGACTCTAATTAATTGTGAGGTTAAAATCTGTATGCTTGTACAAAAATAATTGTAAAATTTTTCTTATACTCGCTAATTTTCGTTTCAGTAATTTTCTACATGAAAAACCAACCAAATAAATTTTCTTGCAGACACTGATAATTTGACAACTGTACCGTATGACCTAATGTGGGGATTTGATCTCTGATATTCTTTTTGTGCCTTTTTTGGGTGTGGTCGGTGGTTCATCGGACGGACTGACAGAGAGAGGTTAATGGCGAAGAGGAGACACACATTATTTTACACGCACAATTTTATTGTATTTTCATGTAGTTGTGGGAATAAATACTGTTGCGTGGGTTTCCGAGTTTTTATCTGATCGTAATCGGACGACAGTGTGTATATTAATTACGATAAAAAATTTTAGAAATTTTGTAGATAAAAAATTATTAGAAGCTATTTCTGGAAAGTTCAAAATTTAGTAATTTTTAAATGGCTTTGTTATACGGTTTTGGAAAGCTTAAAGACTCAACTTTAACAATATAAATTGGTTTTTTCTAAAAAATCTCGAACATTATACGTAAATTTAATTTTAGTGGAAAAATAATTTTCCAAATGTTAATTAAATCTGAATCTAAAATAAAAATAGCGACTCCTTAGAGATGAGCTCATCTTTGGCGAGGATTTTTTTTATATCAAAAACAAACATTTAATTTTTTTTTTAAGCACCCTAGTATCCACTCATATACTGTTTGAGGGGCGCGCAGCTAAAAGAAGGGCATAAACTTTGTATCGGATACCTGATTCCCATATCGGTGAGAGGACCTGAACTAATGTTAAGAATGTTTGGTTGCTTATAGATTTCTATGGATTCGGGGATTTTTCTTTTAGTTTTATCGAATTCGAATAATATTTAAATTCCGGTTTGGTGATCGTGTTTGGCAACTGTTGTGTATTTGTTGTAGTTTTAAGGCTCTTTCATATTCTTTGAACATGGTTGATATTTTTCCCCGTGTTCTCTCCAATGTATTCTTTGCGGCATATGCATGGAATGTTGCAAACTAGTGCTAACTCGAACGGAATTTTGTCTCTGATAGATCGAAGACGTTAAAGTTGTGTGGAAAAATTAACAAGCCATTATGGAGGGCATCAAGCGCAAAAATAGAAACTTAGAAGACGGACGAAAACGGAACGGAAAGCTAGTCGGAGCTCTCTTTATTACAAATTTGCATTGCGTGGAATTAAATTTTCTAGCGTACAAACTTAATATTTCATATTTCTACTAAAAACTGATATGTTAAAAATGATGAGACTGTGGATGGATAATGAAATATCATGATTCAATAGGAAGAATAGTTTACAGCCATTAAAGAGACATGTAACACTTACTCCAAAAAGTTGGTGATCTCTCGTCTACTGCAGTTGGACCAACTGACGCTTACAGTGTCAGCCTCGAAGCTCGGTGTCATTATGTGAAGTTTATTGCCTTGCCTGCGCTTGCAGCCAGTCTTCTCCGTGTCGTGCAACATTCCGAAACTATAAAAGAACATTTTGAAACACCCCTGGGTAGTTAAATTGACGACCAAACAAACAATGCGCAAATTTTAGATGATGCTTGATTTTTTGCATGCGTTATTCATTTGTTTTTCGTTAATAGAGCTGCGTATGTTTCCTAAAACTATTCGAAAAACGACTCTAACATTTTGAAATAAGCGATTCAGAGCGCTAAAAATATAGCAAAGTGTAATGACGCTTTCGCTATTGCAAATAATCTTAATAGAAATTTTGCAAATTCAATTAGAAATGTTGAAATGTTGACCAAAACGCAAGTGTTTAAGAGGTAATAAAGAAATTTAAAACTAAAAAATTTGTTGGTTGGCTTGTTAGAATCCGGATGAAGAAAAAATTATAGACCTAGTGCCGTAATATGATACCACTTGAAGGTAGCGAAATATCCAAGTATAGGGTGTTTTCTAATCGATGTCAATATTTAAGGAGGCGATTTGTGGGTCCATTTTAAAATGAAAACTTTATATGAACATGTGTCCTAAACGTCTTCACTTTTGAGATACAGGGTGGTAAGGTTTTCAAAAATAAAATATATTTTTTTTAATATCTGTAATACCACTTTGGATATTTTAATGAAATTTGACACACATGTGCTATATATTAACAGGCATTATTAAATGTACCAGGATTTTTTTAAAATACACCAGTGGCGGGCGGAGTTTCACATGTCTATTTTGATGGTATGCAACTGATTTCTCTTAAAGTGAAAATTATTCTCACAATCTCCAATCATTTCTACAGAAATTTAATTTCTTCATTTTTTAAATCCAATTTAACGTTTTCGCTTAAAAAAATAAAAACCTCTTCTCTGCGTAGTCATAACAATATCGTTATTTGACGGCATACAGAGAAATTACTTTTTATTTTTAAGTGAAAACCGTGCGACGACGTAAAAAAAAGAGAGTAAATCTGCTCATAAATGAATACAAATGTCATTATTTTTTTAAGGAAATTAGGTCGCCACTGCACTAGATTCAACGAGAATTTTTTTTGTGAAAAATCAAATATATGTCTAAAACAAGATAAATAAGTAAAGTAAGTGAAGCAAAATCGACTGTTAATAAACTAACAACAAGCTTCTTGAAAAAAAGTAGAACATAGAAACTAGATAAGTTGTTGAAAGTGTCCTCAACCTTGAAGGATACACGCTTCAGCTCTTTTCCTCATATTGCCGCATACTCTTTGAAGTATACCTCCAGTATTGTTTATTAAATCGCACGAAGCCCTTATACGATCCTTCAGCTCTTCCACAGTGTTAACTGGGGTGCGATAAACTAGACTTTTAAGAAATAATCCTATTTAGACCTTCACATTCTGTTCCTCACTAAATATGGTACACCGCGTGGCAAATAAAACGATCCACGATCTGGAAATCCATAAGAGATACGAAGAAAAGGTTCATGCAAAAGTTTCTTGGACTCTCCTCAAGATTTAAAATATTATAATTTTGTTGATACAGGGTGTCCCAAAGGTGTCCCTTCCGACAGTTTGTTATTTTAAATGGAACACCATATATATTTCCACATTTTTGGAATCCTTGCTTGAAATATAGGTCACTTTCTTAAGAAATGGACACCCTGTGATTTTAGCAATAGGTTTAATTCGTATATCTGGAGTATTATATGTTTAAAAGAAGTAATATCATGTCTTTGCTATCTAAAAAATACTTAATATTGCCAACAAGTGACTTGCATCAACCAAATAATAATACTTTAAATCTTCAGGAGAGGCCAAGAAACTTTTGTACGAGACTCCTATGGGTTTGCAGATCGCATAGTGGATCGTTTTATTTAGCAATTTTGGAAATCCTCTTCTAAAAATAGGCGATAATTATGGCCACTCTGGCAGGAAAAAGTTTCAATTAAGTAATTTTCAACAATCCCAGCCCATACATTTACCGAAAACTGTTCTTGACGTTTAAATTATGCAAATGGTTAGTGTGGAAATTTCTGATTGCATTTCTGGAATAGTTAGCTTCATCTGTACAGAGTATTTCTCGGTCAAACAAGGAATAATGCGCAATTTTGTTCAAAAATTATTAATAAGCAAGGGAAAATATTTGGGCATTTGGGCAAGTTCAGCATTTTGATCAATATAATTTAAAACTAATTCTTCAATTTATAGAGTTCTTACAGTCCGATGGGCCCCTTTGAAATGATTGTTTGCCCTCAAAGTGCCTACTTCAATCAACCTTCTGTATACATTTGTTCGCCTATCTGGTATCACTCCATTAGGAAAGTGCTCTTGATATAAACGAATATCTGCCAACTCCCCATTAATAAACTGGTCAATTCTTTTTTAAAAAACAATGCTCGGATATTCTAAACACCAAATTAATAAGACGCGAAGAACTGCATGTTAAAACTGATGTCAAGCAACTATCAAACAACCGATTTGACAACATAATTATATAAAAGATATTGTTATGACCATGCAGAGGTTTTTTATTTTTTTAAGCGAAACCGTACATTGGATTGAAAGAAATCAACAAATTAAATTTCTTTAGAAATGATTGGAGATTGAGAGAATAATTTTTATTTTAATAGAAATCAATATCGTACCATCAATGTCTGCCAAAACAGACATGTGAAATTCCGTACCACCATCACTCGTATATTTAAAAAAAAAGTGGTATACTAAATAATGAATCTTGATACGTCTATCTACCTAAAGTGGTATTACGGATATTAATTAATCGATGATGTAAGTGAAAAGGCAAATATTATTTAATACATTGTGAATGGTATTAAATCAACAATTGTAGATGTCAACAGAGATATTGCATGCAGAAAGCATAAGAAGCAGGAGTCAATGACTAAGGAGATTTTGGATTCGATGGAAGTCCGGAAGCAATATAATATCCAATTAGATCAACCTATGTATACCCAAATTCAAAGAGATCCGGGTTAAGATTAGAAGAGCAAAACAACAGTGGATGGAAGAACGCTGCGATAAAGTTGAAGCTTTACAGAACAAAGAAGACTCGTTTGGCTTATATAAGAAATTCAAAGAAATATCACACGTATATCGGAAACAGTACCTAAATTGAAAGAAGACGATCCTAAACAACTTGTAAGCTCCCAACCGAGGGCCTATCTGGTTGACAAAAATGTGAACATCTTGCTGGAGTTGTTTAATTGGATTTATGACACAGGTCACATCCCAGATCTGTATTGGAATCAAACAGTTCGCATCAGACTGGAGAGGGAGGCTGTTGCAAAGGAGTTTGACAAACTCAAGAGCATTCGCGAAGGATGCATCCTGTCAGCCATATTGTTTAACTTGTATGTGGAAAGCATATTCACCGATGCTTTGGATGAAATTGACTGTGGAATTAAAGTGATTTGCAGTCCAATTAATAACCTGCGCTATGCCGATGACCTGTCATAAAATGAATTGATACTGAAAATAATAGACCGTGTTGGAGAAAGTAGAGGCTTGAATATAAACATCTCAAAAACTAAACATATGATCATTAGCAGAAAGCCAGCAAAGAAATCAACCATATATATTAACAACGAATCCATAGAGCAGATTAAACCATTTAAATATCTTGGAATTGCTATAAATCAATAGGCTAGAGGCATTCGAAATGTGGTCACTAAGAAGAATGCTCCGCAATGAGGAGGTTCTCAGAAAAGTAGGCGTACAGGGAGATCTTTTTGAAGTAATTAAAAAACCTAATATTAGTTACCTCGGCCACATACTCAGAGGGGCAAAGTAGAAAATCCCGCAGTAAATCCTATAAGGGAAGGTCGAGGGCGAGAGAGGTGTGGTTCGTAAGCAGATTTCCTGACTGCGTAATATCAAACATTGGACAGGCATAAATAACACTGGTGTCTTGTCATGTTGCTGTCAGTAGAACCTTGTCTTTGAGATAGTGTAGGGCACGTTAAGAAGAAGAAGAAATTGAAAAATCCCGATTTTCTCAAATGGCCATATATGTTATTATTTTTCCTGCAAGATTTCACAAAAACCTACAACTTTTATTGAGAAAATAAAAAAAATCCAGTGATGTTAAGTCACATGATCACATGTTCTACATCTACCGATTCTTCTTGAAAAATCATTCTGCAAAAATATCTAGCCCGAAAGAAATATGGTCCAATAACTTTAAAGTGTTTAATTTCACACCATACAATCAGTGACCGGTGGTTATGGTTTTGCACGTCCCGTACCCAGAATGGATTAACTGTTGAATAATAATGCATGTTATGACAATTAACTGCACCGTTACTGCGATAAGTAGCTTCATCGGGAAACCTTATATCAGACAAAAAATTTGGATCGGCCTCTATTGCTTCATTTATAACGGCGCAGAAACTTACTCTTTTTTCAAAATAACAGTCTAGAAGTTCTTGGTGTGGTCCCATATGGAAGTTATGTTTGTGTTTTCTACTGGTGAGATTAACGGTTGATTGGGGTGTATCACATAAGTTAGCTACTTGACGAATACTGACCTTGAGCTTCAGGAAAATCCGTACTTTTTTTAATTTACTGAGACCACCATACATTTTATGAATTTATTTGTATTTTTTGTTGTCGGGTTGAAATTTTACAATCTCATTTTGTCATGTCGAACTAATGTTATAGCAATCACCTTAGTCAAGAAGAAAGTTAAAATAAATCGCAAATTATTAAAAGTATACATAAGACATACTTAATCAAGGTTGAAGGTTTTTGTAGGATCTTTCAGAAAAAATCATAATAGATATGTGCGCCATTTAAGAAAATCAAGATTTTTCAATTTAAAATGATCCAAATATATTCGCTATTGTGAACACCTTGTAGCATCTAATTCAAATTTCGATGGATACATCTTTTACATATGATGATCTACTTAAAACTAAAAACTATCTATCTAACTAAAAACTAGTATTTTTTTAGAAAAATTACATAGGACAACATATTGAAAAAACTATTAACAAATTAAGTTGAAACAGATATTAAAAATGAAGCATTCCATTTTAAAAAATGTGTGTTTTATTCGTCACGTTTTTTTGAGTCAACTTTACAACATTTTTATTTGCCATTTTCTCATACATTTTAAAACGAATGAGATAATGGATCTTACTCTATCGTTGATTCACCCTGTACATTTTTAGGTGCAATGCAAGAGTAGCCATATTGAGATGTTGTCCTTTGTAATATGACCTGAGCCAGTGCATCTTCACTCACGCTCATCACAGTCAGTTTTAAACGTTTGAATGTATTTATTTACTTACGAAGATCCAGATATATTCGTGTATTTTGAAGACCTTGTAGAATCTAATCTATATTGCGTCATCTTCAAATAACCTTAATATCAAATATTAAAATAATAGCGGTATCGCTTTTTTTTTCTAGTGCGAAAACTAGTATTTTTATAGAAAAATTTAATTATTCGGTAAACTATTGGGTTTAGGTATGTAATATTATATATAAAAAAGTTGAAGAATTTCAAAATAAATTCAAAACAAAATTTAGAAAAAGGGTGTTCCTTTTTTGCGTCATCCTGTATATCTTAATATAATTTTAAATTATGCTTGCTTACAACCTTTACAACTTCTGGATTCAACATTTTCCCATAGCTTTTGAGACTAATAAGATAATGAACTTGATTCTAATCCTTGACTCACTTGTGTATAGATTTATCGCAAGGAAATCATTTCAAAAATTTTAAGTAATCGAAAACATCGTCCTTACAACTTTAAAATCCTTCTTAACAGGACAAACAAACTTGAATTTGAAAGTTCTGATTTTTTTTTGTCCCATTTCCGACGTTTCTTCAATCAACATGAAAAATACTTCGTATGCAATGCCTTTATTTATGTTAGTAAAACTTTATTGAACTAAATAAATTACTTTCCAAGTAGTCGAATTTGCAAACATTTTTAATATTCGCTAGTGTGAAAGAAATAAAAAACTTAAGTTTTTCTTTCCCTAGTCGCTTTAAGTGAGACGCCACGTAGACAAGCTGCACCGTTTTCCCCCACTATCTAACGGAAGATGATACTTGGCGTGACTCACTCTTATTTGCCATGTGACGATAAAAGTGATGCTTAGCGTGTTAAAAACATTAAATCAGACGTTAATCGGCCATCAGCGTACGAAAACAAAGATAGAGTAAACAGTTTAAAGCGGTATCGAGTTGCTTCAACATTGTATCAAACTATGCGCTGTCTGATTTAATAAAAGCGCTTTGCATATGTATGAGGCGGTCGTTTCCCACGAATGCGAGTTTACTCCGTCTTCGTTGACAACTTTTTTGGGTTTCGTTGCGTCAAAAGGAAATCTCGAAGTACTCGAAACTTACTTGTGTCCCATTTCGTGAGCGATGGTATGGGCCGAAGTTATGCCGTTGTCTTCGTTGACGCTGCAACTTCTCGTAGCTTTGCACATGCCTCCGATGTGTGCCACTCCTAGGGTGCCGCACGGAGTGTCTTGTCGGGCACAAATGTCCTTCCTATTCGTAAAAATCAACAGGTTGACGCCACAGGTACTCGTTAGGTTCGTCGCAGCTTAGTTTTTAAATACAATATAACGGAGAGAAACTTGTCAACTAGGCGAGGTTCCACGGCAAGGATCATATGACAACGAACGAAAAAAACGATAAATAAAACGGGCACCAGAGGATAGCGTACTGCTGCGGGATTCTTTTATACCTCCACCACAGTTTATTTAAATAGAAAACCCCGTATATTTTTGAGAAAATTTCATGTTAGGTTACTTCAGGTTCCCCTGTACTTAAATCTCAAGATATTTTGAGTAATTTAAAAAAATTGAAAGATGTAGCACTATTTCCAACAATGCACCGTTTAAACGTTTTTAATTCATGGTATTGGAAACGGAAACGCAAAAATCTTCATTTCGAAATTGGTATGAAACGCTACTTTCAATTAAGAGTCAATAAAACTCCGAAATTCTTTCTAGTTTGCCAAGTATGACATGTGCATTTTTTTTAATTCACAAGGTTTGTCGTCCTTTTTTTTTCTACACTCGGTTCCTTTCGAAACTAATAATACAGTTTATTATCTGATTGAGCTAAAATTTGTAATCTTTCATTGTCTGCAAAAATATCACATCAAAGTAGGAATAATAATAAAATATAAAACAAGAAAACCATCGAAAATGGGTATAATATATAATATACAGAGCGTCTTATTAAAAAAAAAACCTTTCAAAAAATATCTTTCATCCAATTATGGAGACATCCTGTTTAGGATAAATGAATTGACAAATTGCAGATTGTCATTCTTGTGCTTGTGTAAAATTTAAGCACCAGAGGTGAAAATCCAAATCTAGATTTCCTGATCTAAACAGTTTTACGGTTTTTTAACTCCTTTGATGTAAATTATAAAAACAATGGTCACCTTTTGTCATAATCAATAATCAATAACGGATCTTGGCAAACTCAAAAATCAATTAAAAAATTACAAAACCCCTCTATGTGTTCTGTCTTCATCATACATTAACGTAGTTATATATTTCCCTTTTAAAATGATTTCAATATTTTAAACCATCAAATATAAAATCAGGTAAACCGGTTTCAGGTTCAACTTCCACATTCCCACAAAAACCGTGAAAAACTTAACTCAGGCGAATTACGTTGTGTGGCAAGAAATATTTGTAATAGTCTTAGCAGTAAAATAAAAAAATTAATAAAATCGAATTTACTTACAGAACAAAATTTTCCTTACACTATAACTAAATTAATTTTTGTTTCCGGTTCCCCTTGAGGCAAACTCCCATTCACTCAAGTTATATTCAACAACAAATTCGGTTATAGATGGCAATAAAACTTTGAAATATTCTTTTTTTTTTTTCATTTTCCATTGTTTCTTTTGTTTCTTGGATTTTTATATATTATTATATTAGTTTTAATGGAATATCGGTATATTGCGATGAAATTTGGGATAGTATTATATGAGACAATTTTCAATTTTTTTACGGGCAATTCAAAATGACGGCTTGCAATAGTTTCGACATATTTTTTTTGTGCAATAGTGGGGCATGTGACATTTTCTAATTTATATATATTTTTTTATTTTGAATATTTTAATTTGTATTTTTTTAGACATTTTCTTTAACTTTCACCTGAATTAATTTAATATAAAATTAAATTAATTAAATAAAAAAAACAAAAATAAATATAAAAAATAATAAAAATAAATAAAAAATAAAGTGCCTCATGAGCCATTGTTCTATAAAAAAAGCCGAAACAATGCCAAGCCGTGATTTTGACTTTTGGAAATGTCATTTTCGGTAACAAAATTGTAGAAATGTCTTATATAATACGATATATTACGATTATACGATATAATATGATACGATACGATTCAAAAGGGGGCCAAGGATTTTAAGGCGTCACTGTATATATTTTCTCAACTATTAGTCTTGCAATATAATTGGTCGTTTCTGGGCCTTCAGGCTAATGTTGGACTAGATTATATAGTGCCTTCTCGCGAACATTCTTCTTTTCGAGAGTGTTTGTAACAGTTCCCGCAGTCGGTACCATTTCTGAAATTATGTATAGGAAAAGGAATAAACAATCGTTATAGGATTAAATTTGGCACCCCACCATGTAATAATATACAGGATGTCGTACAAGAAAAATCAAAATTTCGCCTTTTCAAAAATGACGCAACTGATTGATTATATTTGGACACCCTGTAAAAAATAAATCAATTGCCAATACCACTAGCCAAAAATTGTTTAAAAAAATGGTCAACATTTTTAAATTATTCTCAGAAACTGTGCTAGGTGCTGTTACTTGTGATTTATTGAATTGAAACGTTAATGTGTCAAAGAAACTTCCACAGGCTACTGTAATACCATTTACAAATCATCTGGATTCCTCCTGCATCGGTTGCTGACTAACTGAAATTGGTTTGAATTTCACTCTATGCGTGCTTATATAACATTGTCTCGGATTACTGATTACCATATTGGTGAAAGTTAAAAACCCCAGTCGCGGTTCGATTTTTTTTTTGATAGAAGAAATGATTACGCAAGAATTTTAGTTTTATTCTTCATTTATAAACATCCAAGATGCAAGAGGAATAAAAAAGAGTTGCAAATAGGATTACAATTACCATAGCAGCTTGTGGAAGTTTCTTTGAAAAAAAAAAAAACAATAATATAATATGAAAAAATATCACCATAGCCGAATACAACTTCGAAAGAGTCAAACAGTTCAAATATTAGGATTCAACAGTGACGGAAAATGCCGAAAATATACCTAACGAAGATGCATGAACATTGTCTCCGATGACTGATTGCCATATTGGTGAAAGACCTGAGTCACGGTTAAGATTTTTCTTTGGTCGAAGAGTTGATGCCAGATAAAAGGAATTTGCAGCATTCTATGCATATATGGCAAAGAATATATCGAAGACACAAGACGATATATATGAACTAGTCTAAAAGAACATGAAATAGCCTTAAGACTACGACAAATAAGCTCATCAAATCTTATTCGATAAAACTAAAACTCTTGGAATAATTAATTCTTCTACCAACGAAAAATCCGAGAATGTATAGAAATCTATAAGCAATCAAACAATCTTAACCGCGACTCAGGACTTTATCTCCACACCAATATAGGAATTAGTTATCCGAGGCAATGTTCATGCCCCTCCATTAGGTCCGCCCTCTCAAACAATATATAAGGAGGGACAGATTAGAATGCGAGGCAGTTTCGGTTAAGATCTTAAGAATCCAACAGGATGATTGACGAAACGTGGGGAAGCTTAAAATATCAACAACCGGCGCAGGTGGAATTCAGATGTAATAAAGAATCCAGCAGTGGTGAGCATTTTTGGGAACTTTGTTCACTTGCAGAGTCATTACCAAAGGGAGCAGCCTTGACGTGAAAGCAATCCCCCCCCCCCCAAAAAAAAAAACAACAAAATGCTTGTGATTTGCCACGTTTTTTTTTGAAAATTTAAATTAGAAAATTGGAATAATAATATATAAGAAATGTATATAAGGAACACTCAGTAAACCAGCGAGCAGCTGAGAGCTCGGTCTTGTGGGGCAGGTCAGGCAAAGAAAGAGCAACAAAAAAAAAGAATTATTTAATAAGTTGTGCGTAAGTAAAATGTTGGTAGTACCACTAAACTACCCCCGTAGCTTCGTGATCACGTCCGCTTACATTTGTAAATTAAACTCAATAATATTATCCGGGGATAGAATTGACTTACGCAAATAAATTAAGATCGAAAGAGAGAGAAAAAAATAATATCGTCACTAAATTTCAACACTAATAATAAAAATAAATGGATGGTAGCCTGATCTGCTGATGTAAGCGGTCAGTATCAGGGTCGTCGTTAATAACTCGGACGAGACGACCTCGGGAAAAATACTCGAGTTCCCAGAAGAGTCTCGGTCCGCGACAGGTCGGTTACGTAGGTCTACGAATTCCTACTGATCTGTCGCGCTATATTCCCTTCCCATAGGGAAAAAACCGTTACACGGTTTCTGATTTTCCACTCGTCTTGGACGTTAGGAATACGGAGCCTACATCCGATTAATCGAGAAACCGGTCTGATGTTGGGTGGCTTAACGAAGAGGAATTATTTCAATTCGCAAACCCAAAACGCACGATAGGACACTACGACCAAATTAAACAGCAGCATACGGGTTCCAAATCCCTAAAATAGGTAAAACTTCCACACAATTATGAACCTGTTGCTTGCTGATCCTCGACTAACGGAAATTGAAGCCAGAAAAATGCGCGATTTGCGTAGTTAGACCAAAGAACAAAATATATAGGGTTGGACTCTTCTAACGAATCGACATGGCTAATAGAGACTGTATGTAAAGGAAATTTTTTTATAATAAATTAATGTATCTGGCTAGCAATCGTCGAGATTTTCTACATATAATCTTAAGAAAGCTAATAGGTACTAGAAATTCTCTCAGTCGAGGTATCGATAGTGCGAATAAAATTGATAGTCAATGCTATACAACCCTACACGTAACTAATGTGACTAATTGCTTTTGAATGGGATTATCCAAGGGTGGTCATTAACATACAATGCAACAAGATTTTTACCTAAATTTTCGGAATTTAAATTGACGTAAAATTGTGGTCCCTAATAGAAAATAATTTTATACCTATCTGTGTTTAATATTCTTTGGTTTGGTATACTACTTAGTTTAAGTTTATTAGTAATCATTCTTATTTCGTGCGTAATACAGCGTGTGTTGGATCGTGTGCGAATTATGCAAAATATGTGCGAGTCTAGTGTATCTCAGAAGATGCTCCCACCCAAATGTCGAAAACAATATTCTATTGAGACTAAGGAAGTTATAAACAATGTTTATTTGACTCTCATTGAAAGTTGGAAGTGTATTCAACACATGGGTTTTAGATTAAAAAAAATTGGCAAAAGGCAAGTTTTAACGGAATCTTTTAGAATTCGGAAATGGCGACTGGAATATCTAGAAAAAATTAGGATTTACAGAGAACAACAAAGGCCAATTATTTACTTGGATGAAACCTGGTTGGACACTTATGATACCCCGGATAAGTGTAAAAGAATAGCGCCATCAAAAAGAGGTAAAAAAATAACTATTTTGCATGCTGGCTCTAGAGATGGTTGGAAAAATACTAAAAATTCTTGTCTGGATTACCATGAAGACACCACCGCTGATTTATTTGAAAGTTGGTTTAAAAACAAACTAGTTCCAAACATTCCTCCCAATAGCGTAATTGTAATGGACAATGCAAGTTATCACAGTAGACAGTTGACTACACAGTAGACATTGACTAAAAAAAAGGTAATAAAATAATTTGTAATTTTATTTTAGATTTAAACATAAATACATACATAAAATAATAAATATTATTTAGTATCTTTCCTAACAAAACCCCAAATAATTAAATTCTAAGCAAAGTACGGACCTGTTCGGCCATATTTCATTCTTACAGCTTGCCCGGGTTTCCTTAATTCGTATCAGTTAGTCACTTTCTTATATCTATGAACAGACTTTACCATCGATGGCTGTTATTAGTTGCCCACCTTGCCGTGTGATGCAAATGTAATTATTAGTAAAAAAAGGAATGCAAAGAAATATTAAATTACGAGCTGCTAATAAATGGCATGAAGTCAGCGACAGCATTTAGGGAGTGAAATAAAACTCCTCCGGTCATGCAAAAATGCGAAACTTAACGCGCTTTACTGGTTGCATACTAGACGTAGCGGTAACCAACGAAGAAGATCGCATACCGAGAGATTAACTTTAAAACAAACAGCCGTATGTAAGTAAGCAATTTTCACTTTAACTGCCAGTGAAGCTTCAAGAATAATTGCTGATTCTACCGTATTTCATTACAACTCGAACAACAGCAAAACAATAATGACGTCGAAGGAGTCTTTTCGATATCCTGCCGCTATACCATTCCATATTACATTACATACGTAAAGTCACTAGCAAAAAGCACTATCCGTAAGTAACTACTGATTTATCTTCCCACAGAGAAAGAAGAAAGCAATCAGAAATATAAAGTAAGATTGATTTGAAGCAAAGTACCAAACACACTAGAATCGAATTAGCACGAGAAGCGTGATTTAATAAATAAAAGCCAAATACACAGTTAATTCTTTACTTCACTGGAAATATAACATAAAGTCCAAATTGGAACGTAACAGATTACTACATAGTCACCTGGTTTTACCTGGTTAAAAGTATGGCGACGTCATGATGATGCGGATGCGAATCGTCACCGGGATTTAGGGACCTTTGCCACTTGCAAAAGTTTTTCAGGGTGGTGTCGGCATTGGTCGTGGCCACAAAGGCAGGTTCAGCCGAAACATCGTCAATCAGAATGATTTTCACCACCACTACGTTGATGTAGTTGCCTATACTGGGGTCTTGATAAAACGAGGAAACCTGAAAGAAAAACACTCAACCAGCGTCGTCGCAAAATAGAAAAATTCGACTCTTATACGGCTTTCAGAGATAACTCGTATAAATGTTCGGGAGTGGAAGTAACAAACGATCGTTACGGACGAAAGGGATTAATCCGACGTAAATACCGAACTTACCTCCTAATCTAAGCTAAATGCAGGATAAAACCTCGTCGCCAGTCAGCCTTGAACAAAGCGCACGATAATAAATCGGAGAATCTCACAGTCCGACGAATTCGCATAATTGCCGACTCTGTTGCCCAACGAAGTGCAGTTTGATTCGGGGATAACTGTCCCGGAATGATTTGTTTACTAAAGCTTGAAGTATTAGGGTTCCTGCACGTATTTCATATATGAACTCCCTTACAAAATGTAGCTGCATAAGTGCTCTCAAGCTTTAAGCACTTTAAATTTGACACATTGCATTTCTTCATTCGTTTTTCCTATATTCGATATATTGATTTGGAAATTTTTCTATTTTGTGTCCACACCAAAGCAAAACCGACCAAAAAAAGCTGATTTAGACAATTTAATCTACTTCAACCACAGAGTGGTAGAAAGGTAATTTAAAAGTAACTTTTAATGGGTGTTTTTTTTCGATGTTTTAAGTTGGCATTACTGTTCCAGATGGCGACCGATTTAACAGCTGTCAAGTGATTTATTCTCAGTTTGGCTTGGCAATTCATCAAATAGTGCAATTTTATTTCGAAAATAATGGTTCTGTGCGGAATACCTATCGCGCACTACGTCCATTTCATCGTCGACAAAATCGTCCATCAGAGCAGTTAATTCGCTTAACCATGGAACGTTTTCGCACCACGTTTACTCTTATCGATAACTCGCATCCCCTATTGCTGTAGAGCGTAGCAATGAGGAAGACCCGAATGAGTCCATCCGCCATCGAGCACAGGAATTGGGTCTGTGTCCATCCACTTTATGGAAGATTTTGCGGAGGGATCTTGGTTTACGTGCTTACAAAATCCAACTCGTGAAAGAATTGAAGTCAAACGATCATCAAGTAAGGCGTAGATTCGTAGAATGGGTCCAAAACGAGATTGCCGTTGTTCCCGATTTTCATAAGCGAATTTTTTTTAGCGATGAAGCGCACTTCTGGTTGAATGGCTACTTCAACAAACAAAACTGCCGTATTTGGAGCGAATCTAATCCTCAAGTGTATGTCGAAACACACATCCAGAAAAACTGACTGTTTCGTGTGCTTTATGGGCTGGTGGAATCATTGGTCCGTACTTCTTCAAAAACGATGATGGTCAGAAAGTTACAGTCAATGGTGATTGGTATAGAGCTATGATTACTAACTCTTTCATTCCTGAATTAAATAACCATGATGTCCAGGAGATGTGGTTTCAACAAGACGGCGCAACATATCACACAGCTCGTGCCACAATCGATTTATTGAAAGACACGTTTGGTGACCGCCTAATTTCACGTTTTGATTGTGATTTAACACCGCTACACTATTTTCTGTGGGGCTATGTAATGTCATTGGTCTATGCGGATAAGCCACAAACGCTTGACCATTTGGAAGACAACATTAGTCGTGTTATTGCCGATATACGGCAACAAAAGTTGGAAAGTCATCGAAAATTGGACGTCCAGATTGGACTACATCGGGGCCAGCCGTGGCGGTCATATGCCAGAAATCATATTTAAAATGTAATGCCACAAGATTATCTTTCGGATAAATAAAATTCATGTCAATCGAATAATCCATAGTTGTTTTATTGTAACTTAAAGCTCTCTACTATTTCGGGAAACATACTGGTCCCTTCTTCAGACAGCGCTCTGAAGAAGCAAGCAAAAAATGTTCATCGTGTAAGTTTATAACGTTTTTGTTGCACTGAGCTGTAGTGTTCGTTACTCTATTCCATATAGTTTGGTCACTACGTGACAGTCCACCATGGTATCATGGAACATCTGGCTTCTATCTTCCATACGATGAACATTTTCACGTAATTTATCTTTGGTGCTTTGTATTCTTCCTATACTGATCTTACTCTTATTATCTCATGTGGGGAACCGAAAAGGTGATTTTAATATTTTTTTCATCCTTTTTTGCTCATTTTATTTGTGTATATTTGTATTTGTATTTGTGTATTTGTTTATTGATGGCTAGGGTATAACACATGCAATGGGACTGAATTTTTGTCATTTTTTTGCAGCAGGTAGTTCATTATCACAGTATTTTCAAAAGTTATGAGCAAATGGTAAACACAAAAGTTTTAAAAATTGTTAGGATGCACAATTTGAAATTATTATAAAGTATACAGAGTGGCTATAAAATATAACACCCTATTCTTAAATTGAGTTTTGAATGCGTTTTGAAAATTTCCACTTTTTTTTAATAATAATACATAAACTTGAAACAGTTTAAAAAAAATAGCTTTTACACGACAGCACCAATATTTCTGAAGGTAGATTACTCATATTTGATATAAATGTTTTTCGAAGATGACGTCAACGCAGTTTGAATCAGATGCTAGAGGGTGTTCAAAATATACGTATATTATATATGTATATTATTATTATTATTATACTATTTTTAACACTTTGGGATTTATTTTAACTTCTTCAATATTTTCCATCTTTCTGTCAAAGACTGTTGCCATAATATTGGTTAGCAATGACAAAACTATTAATAAACAGGGCTGCGATAATAAATGAACTGGAAAAAGAAATTTTTCGGAGCCGTAGATTAAGCAACAGCAAGCAATTCACACCAAAAATAAATAATGTTAAATACCTACTACTAAAAATTAATTTGTGTTATTTTTAATTTTCATTATGTTACAATAAATGTTCAAAATTATGCTCTTCTATTTGGATACGCATGTTTCGTTTTTTCCCAATAATTTTGGACGTTCCTTAACAAAACGGTGTTGTTCCCCTGCACGCGTCCTGAATCTTATTTTTCATATCTTCTAGTGTTATGTAGGGTGATTTACATAAACACGATCTTTAACTTATCCACAAATACTACAGTGGCCTTCTAATATATATGTTATATGGAGTAATTCAATCTCGTTTTTTACAACAATCTCAATATCAGGATAACATTATTGAACCTCATAGTCGTTAGTATTATATTACCTTGTCTACTAAGTAGTGCTAACCAAGAAGCGAGTAATTCCTCTACGTTCTAGAACTCTTCTACGCTCACTGTCCAACTACCGCATAAATACCCGGTACACCGCAGGAACGATGGATTTGGATTTTGTTGCATTTTTGTTAAGTATTTTGTCAGATTCAGTTGATTTTGATGTAACACTTCGAATGCGTTTCTTATTGTTCAGTTTAAATAAAGTAGTGACTTTTGAGTGCGTTATGTCCTAAGGGAGTAGTGTTTGAAAACAAAATACCCCGGCCACGAATATAACATATATTATATATAGTATATTATGGAACAAGTGTGGTAAACGGCATTTGAGTTTATTTGGCACGAGCGGAACGAGTGCTTAATATACGAGTGACTTGAAAAATCTACCATACAACTATAATTTTCTACGACTTCATTTTTTGGCCACATTTTTGCAAAACACAAATACAACTCTGCCTGCATGATTATGGGTGGATTGAGTAGCCCATAGTCATGTTGCCGGTCCCAAGCCCGGGTAAAGGAGGAGAGTTTCTAGGTAAGGTTAGCTTCCTGCCTTGAGTAAAAAAAATAATCTAGCTCATAGAACTGGAAAAATAGCTTCGGATGCTGCGCGGATTAGGGAACAGACGGCAATGGCAAGAGCACGGAGACGAATACGGAAACGGAAAAATATATTAAGGTTTGCATGCTGGAATATTAGATCATGGAACAAGAGAGACCAAGAAATCATAATTGCTTTAAATAATTATAAAATCGATATATGTGCTCTATTGGAAACCAGATGCAAAAGAAAAGGGGCCACACGATACGAACATTACATGTTATTGGTTGTTCGGAAAGTCATTTCGTTTTTTTTGGGGAACATGAAAGACAGTTTTTGTATAATGAATAAATATTTTATTAAATTATATATTGGCCATTCTGGTCCACCTTTTGCCATCTTTCTGGCAGTAACATAATTCCCCTCTCATAAAAGTTTTGGTCCTTGCTGGCAAAAAACTGGTTCAGGTGGTTTTTGACATCTTCATTTGAGGTAAAGGTTTTGCCATCCAAAAAATTTTGCAGGGACCGGAACAAATAGTAGTCGGAAGGCGCCAGATCTGGAGAATATGGTGGATGTTGCAGTACGTCCCATTCAAGCTGTATAAGGTTTTGGCGAGTGACCAAACTTGGGTGAGGTCTCGCATTATCCTGGTGGAACACTACACCCTTCCTGTTGATTAATTCGGGCCTCTTCTCTTTAAGTGAATCATTCAATTTGTCCAGTTGATGACAATAGACTTCTGAATTAATCGTTGTATTGTCCGGCAAAAGTTCAAAAAAAACGATTCCTTTGACATCCCACCAAACGGAGAGCATCACCTTTTTTTGGTGAATGTTGGCTTTTGACACGCTTTGAGCCGGTTCATCTTTTCTTCTCCATGACCTCTTGCGTTTAACATTGTTGTATACAACCCATTTTTCGTCCCCAGTAATAATCCGCTTTAAAAATGGATCATTTTCTTGACGTTTGAGGAGCGAATCACACACGTCAACGCGACGACACAAATTTCGCTCCGTAAGGACATGGGGCACCCACACATCGAGCTTCGAGGTTAAGCCCATGCCTTTCAAATGGCCATAAACAGTCGAATTCGACAAATTTAATCTCTCACCGATCTCTCGTGTGGTTATTCGCCGATTTGCATCAACTAATGCCTTTATCGCATCTTTGTCAGCTTCGACCGGCCTTCCAGACCGTGGTGCATCTTCGACATCAAAATTGCCGGATCGAAATTTTGCAAACCAGTTCTGGCACTGGCGTACTGTTAACCATACACATCCGTCAATTTTTTTCTCGCTTGGACAGCATTTTTACCTTTTCTGAA